TACATTTAAATTGGATCCTTTAGGAGAACAGAAGTTTACTTCTCTCTCTTTTAAGAAAAGGCAACTGTGTGAAAAACTATTATTGAAACACATTGATATTCAGAAACAAGCATCACTTTTTGAAAAGCCGAAAGTTTATGAAACACCAAAATCTTTAATACTATTATTACAATCAGTGTAAAAATTTAATTCATTATACTGGACAGCTTTGCAGCAGCATACTTTAAAGACTTATAAGATTGATTAACATCTAATTGTTTTTTTAAAGGCAGAAACTTCAAAAATGTCACAAAGTTACACTTTAGTCTGTAGGTGTGTTTTCTGGTGGTGGATTGGGCATATATTTTAAAGAAAAGCCTACATATTTATTTGTGTGTGCATATATTTTTATTTTGATGAAAACCTCTTGAGCTGCTTTGCTGCAAAATATATTTCAGTATCTGTTATGTCTGCAGAGCTGTGGGAAGGCTGAAGATGAAGGCAGGGAAGGAAAACAGCAGCAGAGCACACACAAACACGAGGCCACCTGGCATCTTGCCATGCTACATGACATTCAATTATTTTAGTACTTTTTCATGAAAGTTTCTCTCCACCAGCTCCTCCCCTCTTCAGACCATTGCTCTTCTACATTTGGCATAGTTCGCCTGATTCAGCACACATTTTTTTTCTTGCTCTACTTATAAGCCTCAAACTCTCACTGCAAAAATGAAATCCTGTCTTGACATTCCCACTATTCGTATGTAAGTGTGACATTTCCCTCAGTAAGTTGAAATCGGAAGAAACTAGAGTGGTCTATACATTTATTCTACAGCTGCTTTAATGCTGCATATGTAAATATTTTTTTCATTTCCCAAAACATATTCACAAAGGGAAGATGGGCATTAAAAGCAGCTTTTAGTCTATGAGGTTTCTTTTTTCTTTTTTAGTAAAATGAGTCAAGATGCCTTAATCTGCGAATCATTTATCTGAATTTTACTTTCTAATAAAGCACTACTTTGGGGGTGGCAGAGTGTCAAATAGTCATTTCAATGGACTTTCTAATAATTTTAACTTCTTCAATTATTCTAAGTCTAGGCTCTAAATGGGAACTAAAAAAAAGAAAGAAAGAAAGAAAAAAAAGAAACTTAAAACAAATCCCAAATCACTGTTTGGGAAAGCCACCACCTAACAACAACAACAACTGGTTGCAGGAATAATATTAGATGTCACTTCAAATGGTAGCATCCGTCATCTTTATCTGCACAAAATAGCTTTCTCCCCCTCTGTTAGGATCCCATGGTGCCAGAGGAATGATCTAGCTTGCTCCAACACAGCTCAGTTACTAGAGGAGAAAGTTTTTCAGAGGGGCTGAGACTTGAATCTGTAATAGTCTTATTAACCCTCATTATTCCTCCTGATTCCCACCCCATGCCTCACCCACAGGCACTGCCCCTCATCCCCATCAAGAAGATGTGAAGAAGCACCACTAAGCCGTGAAGATATGAAAGTGCTGAAATTCTAGGATGTCCTAAATTTTGTTAGGTTTTCAAAGAAATCAATTACTCCCCACCTCTGTTGCTCTCCTACTGCCTCTCTCACCCCATCACTTCCTGCAAGTGTTGGTGCCCATTCGGAAAGTTCAGATTTGAAGGAAGCAAATCAGAAAAGGATGCACAGCAGCTTATTCTAGTTAGATATCTTGACTGACATAAAAGAAGGAAAGCTGAATCCTGGGTTTATATCCTGAATATGGAAAAAAGATGAACAATACTCTAAAAGGCAAAATAGGTGGGCAAAGAAGAAAACTGATGCCTGGGATTGATGGGCTGAGGCCCCAGGAGATAAATCCCCACCTAGAACCTGACCTAATAAACTGGATCACACCTGCCTCAGAACACACTTGTCCCTGGGGCCAAGCTGACTCGTTGGAATTGAGGAGGACTTTTAAAAGCTGTCAAAGTAGGAGCCAAGCTGGATCTGGAAGGCTGAAAGCATTTATCAAAGTACTATGGTCAGTTTCCAAGAAGGTTATCCTCAAAGCATTGGTGGAAAAAGCCCAGGTAGATCTCAGGGAAAGTGAGATCATCTCCAATCTAATTTCTTCTCCCTTCCTGTGACTTTTAGAAATTATTGAATTAGTATTGTTTTAATTAGTATTATTTTCAATGTATTATTAATGCCCCTATCTCTAGAACTGTGTCAGAACCATAAACTCCATCTCAACCTCTCGAAATTCATGTAATGCAGCTGTTGGCAACCAAATACCCAGCTTCTTGCCCAAAACTGCAGATTAAACATTCGTTATGGGAGTTTGCCATTAGCTGTCCCCTCTGTTATGGGCACATGTGGTTACATGTCACAAAACGCACGGGATTCTGTGTAGTATATTTGCATTTCCAGGAATCTCCAGGGATATTATGTGGGTTTGGTGACACCTTACACCCCATGCCTCCAACCGCTACCATCAAAAGTGAGTTTTGGTAATGGGGTAGAAACAGGTTTACTAGACAGCTCTTGTCCTCGGCTACGCCGCATTTTCTCTATGAGTTGGACCTTTATTAGCATACAAGTATCCTAGAACTTGTATTACATGTCTTTAATTTAAAAGATACCTGATGTTTTTCCGGAAATTTAGGGTTTTTAAGACATATTTATAAACAAGCTGACATAGCTCTACAAGATAACTTGGTTGATAACTAGTTTGTATATTTCCTCAAGTCAGCAATAGCTGTTGTTCTTGCTGCTGTGAATTTTTGTAAAACATATTAAACGACCATTTTCTTATCTTTCCCCGTGTTTATTAGAGAAAGGCAGACTTTCAGGATACCTGAAGATAAGAAGATACCGAAGGGGATAGGAAGGAATAGAAAATGGCCAACCCAAGAGGAGTGAGTGAGTAAGTCAACATTCAACGTTTCCACAAGGCTGCCCGGGAGCCCGCTAGAAAGTGTCCAAAGAACGCAGAGCTGAGCCTCCTGCTCAAGCAAGGTCGGGATGCTACAGAACACTTTAAGAAGAGCGTTTCAATGGCTTCTTCGGACACCTCACCCTCTCTCCCTGGGCCTGACCTCAGAATGCCAGGTTGTCTGGTTTGGAGTTCCTATGCTCCTACGCCCCGATGCAGCAGCGTGGCTTCCTGCTGAAGCTCAGTCCCTAGTGCTTTTGTTTGAACTTGCTCCCCTGAAATTTAACAAACTGCAGTTGGTGCTGGCAGCAATGCTCCTAAGAGAATAATAATAATACAGCAGAAGCCAGTTAGTCCCAGCAGTAGAGTCCACTTGCCTGAATCTGAGTGCACACTCAAGGCCACACTGAGCGCTGCGCCACGTGAACTAAGCTTGTGCCCCTCCTCGGGAGAACAGTCTGGGTTGAACCCTGGCCGGGCGACCAAGGTTGCTGCTGCCAGCCGATCTGCTCGGGTTCCTCTGGTCGGATCTGGGTGCTTAGGGCCGACCCTGCCTTTGGCGCAATGCTAAGGAGCAGCTCTAGGGTGCACAGCGCTCCCTGATTGTTGCTCTCTGGCTGAGGCCTGGTCAGGTCTCGAAGTTCTTACCAGAGAGGTGAGGGTCTGCCAACATCCCCGAAGAAGGTGGAGACTCTCAAACCCATCAGCATGCCCACCACAGCTGGGCTTGGCCTCACCATCCTCAGAGTCGGGACTGCTCCGCCTGCCCGAGGCCTCACCATAATTGACCCGCTTGTCTGGGGAAACGCGACGGCCGCTGTGAGTGCCAGTGTTGACAAAGGCTGTGTCAGGACACACAAGCGGAGGCCTTCCTGGACCACAACATGTCCGGCTTATTTTCACCAAATTTGCTAGTTTAGAGTGCCTGATGCAAATGTGTTTTTGTGCCCAGGGCACCGAACGCATTTCCCCCAGGCGCCGCGGGTGCCTAGGAAGCCAAGAGTCATGCCAATAGTCACACAGAAGGGCTTTCAACCTAGCAGTGCTCTCCTGCCTGCCCTACCATCCCCTCTGGCGGAAATGGAGGCCTTGGACCTGTCCGCGCCCAGGGCACCGCACAGCGAGTGCCCCCAGCTCCGCGCGCTCAACACTCACTCCCAGAGCGCTGTTCGGAGTAACTTCACAGCGACTCTTTAAAAGTAAAAGTAATTTCTGTAAAAATATGCAGACATTCCTATTCTTCATAAACCCCTGTTTGTAACAATCTTCCCTTTGGCATTAGAGAAAAGCTCTTCAAAGACACTTATCCTAACGGGTTTTCTTAAAATAATTTGGGTCTAATGATAAAATCGTGGACCTAAAGGAAGGGTGGGAAGAGGGTAGGGAATTGGTTGGCATTAGTATAATGGCTTCATTGCCTCTTGCTCGGCTTCTCTCTCCCACCCATCGCCACCGTGTCCACACGCCGCCGCATCCCAGAGAAAAAGAGAAGGCCACGGCCTCGTAAAGCGCCCAGCTGGCCCGGGACGCGAGCTCCTCCCGCTTAGAAGCCTAAGCGACCCTTCTACTACTGCCGCTGCGATTAATAGCTGACAATGCATCTGGTTTCTTGGGCTTCGGATTAATGTGAATCTTCCACGTAAACGATTTACGGAAGAAATGAAAGCCTTTTAGAGCAATACTTCCTTTCAAGTTCTTAAGACGCCTCTAAATCTTTCTGGTAGTGAGTGCCGGCATGGGGGCAGGGTGGGGAGGGGTGGCTCAGGAAGGCGCAGGCAGTGGAGAGTGGAGGTTTAACTGCTTTGCGATCTCACCAAGATCTTCCGAAATGCCAGTCCACTGTCACCGCGGCAATGAATCTGGGTGTCGGGGGTTCGTCTCTCCTGGCATTTGTCTGAAATGGAGCTGTCTGTCTGTCTATCCTAGGCCTGGACGCGCTCAGCCCCGGTAAGTGGGGAAAATGGGGGTGGGGTGGGGGCGGAGGGGGACCCGGGGTGGAGTTAGTCGCCCGCCTATTTTCATATTCATTAGAACTGGGAGGTTGCCCGAGGAGCCCAGCTGAGTTTCAAGATATAAAAGCAACTTCGGGTGCTCCTTTTCCAGCCGGGACGTATTAAAGGGACCGGAGCGGGGCAGTTCCCGGCGCCGCAGCGTTGGCTTTCCTTTCCCTCCCCTCTGGCCCTCCCTCCTCCCGCCCACTGGCTCCCTCCCCCAGCGCTCTCCAGTTTCTGTGCCCCAGGAGCTAGGCGACCGCCTTCCAGGATTATGGAGTTTCTGAGCGAGAAGTTTGCCCTCAAGAGCCCTCCGAGTAAAAACAGTGACTTTTACATGGGCGCAGGAGGTCCTCTGGAGCACGTTATGGAGACGCTGGACAATGAGTCCTTTTACAGCAAAGCGTCTGCGAGCAAATGCGTACAGGCCTTCGGACCCCTGCCCCGCGCCGAGCATCACGTGCGCTTGGAGAGGACCTCGCCCTGTCAGGACAGCAGCGGTGAGTCGCCAGCGCCCCAGCCAGAGCCGCCGCAGACCTTCCGCAATCCAAAATGCAGGATCGGTCAGATCTGGCAGGGAGGGAGGAAGCAGAAAAGTGGGAGCGAGGGTGCTGGAAGGTGGAGGAAGGCAGTGGAAGGTGTTCGCTTTATGAAGCGGTGTTACTGCTGCAGCAGCCTTTGGGGGCGGGGGCCGGAGGGAGGGAGACATCCGGCACCGGGTTGCCTCCCAGCGATTCTCCTTTCGCTGTAGAATCTGGTCGCCTGCGGATCCCTGAGTCCTTCTGTAATATTGGCTCCTGGAGTAAACTGATAGGGCGCTAAATAGAGCGTAATTGAGTCAAGACAGAACGCTTCTATGCGAGCCCGCCTCTCTGTCCCGGCGGGAGGAACTGAAATCGATCACAGCTCGTTAGAGTACGTCACTGTCGTCACGAGTAGGAAAAGAAAAGAAAAGAAAAAAAAAAAAACCCGAAAACAAACAAGAAAACAAAAAACTTTTTGAGCTCCTTTAAGTAAAGATAAATCTTTTTAATTTTCCAAGACGTGGCGATATTTTTTCTAAGTTTGAGGATCCCTAGATTTCTAGCGTGTGTGAATTTGTAATTTCTGCTTTTTTTGTGTGTGTTTGCAATACAACAAGCGTTAAATGTTTGTTAAACACCAAAGCACATTAAGTAGCTTCGGGCAAAGCATCCGCGGCCTAATAACTCATTCCCAGATTCTACGTTTTCTATTTTTATGACTTCACATTAAAAGTCACCTAAGTGGTCTTCGGAATGCTTCTGGGTGAAATCTTCAACTTTGAATGCCCAAGTATCTCCAAGTCAAAATGTTATCAAAACAAACCATCTATCTTTTCTATCTTGTAACCTAATACGAACCTATTATTTCAGATCGCGACAGCCAAAGCACGTTTACAATTCCAAGAGAAGTTTTTCTTATCATTGTGTATATTCCACAGTTAAGCTATAAGGGGCGGGTTGCTTTAAAATAACAAACGAATTAAGTGTGAAATATTTACAACAAGCCCCTTGCCCCCTATTTTATGGAGATTCAAAATCTGACAAAACACTGACCTGTAGAAGCTCTTTTTCTAAATATTTTGAACACAGTTTTTTTTCTTTTCTAAAAATCTCATATTTAATTTTATTTAACCTTGTAAGTAACCTTTGACTAAGGGTAAATCAAAAATAAAGGCGCAAATGATAGAGAAAAAAACAGCTAAGTCGTTTCAGTCATTTGTTTAGAAAGATTCGAGCATATACTTACTATTCTTACACTGAGTTGTTGGTTTTCTGGCTGCGTTTCAGACCTGGTATCTGTATTTGTGGGATTCTTAGATGCATGCGTAAAGTTATTTGAATTGACAGGTCTTTCTTTAATGATTCTGCAATGTCTTGTATTGACTCTGGATGGACTCGATCATAACATTTTATTTTAAATAGTCGGGAATCCAAAATAAGACACATAGTTGATGCGTTATCAACTTTTAAAGAAATATCACACTATTAAGGTGAATTTTAACAGAGAAGTGTTAAGGAAGATGAACATAGGCAGTCATTCGCTTAATTTAGGAGAGATCCTGTCTTTCTCTTGAGATGCCCTTAGCCTCTCTGATGCTTCCCCTCCCCCATCCCTAATTGCTGCTGTTCCCCCTTTAATTTTGCCCAAGGAGACAAAACCATGTTGTTAATCAGTCATGGCTCTTCTTTATATTTAGTTTAATATCACATCTTCCTTTGCATGAAAACCATTAATTTTAAAACTTTGTTATATATTGACAAATTATAATGTATTTTTATGGGGTACAAAGTAATGTTACGTTTTATGAATACAATGTGGACTGATTAAATCACGCTAATTAAATTGGCCATCACCTCAAATATTTGACATTTTTTGTGATGAGAACATTTTTGAGAGTTACTCCGTTAGTGACATTGAAATGCACAGTACTCAATTGTTAGCTATTTAAGTTATATGCACATTAAAGTTGAGTATATTTGTATAATGATGAAAAGAGTTGTAAAAATGCATTATGGGGTAATTTTAAAAAAGAAATAAATGAAAAAAGTATAATCATCTATTGGAAATTATTATTCTGGCTGGATTGAATTTACGTTTTAAAAAGTGCTTCCCATTTCACTCTGTGCGTCCATTGCATTTGTGGGTGTGTGGCATTATATGATACATTTTTGTTTTATATCATACTGCAAGCATGCAATCAAATCTGAAGAAAATTACTGAAATTAAACATCCCTTAACAGAATGCCAGATGTCATCTTCTGTAATGTTTTAATAGCTGTTTTAATTTCTGTGTTTCAGCAGAGAAAAAAGTAAAGCTTTCAATCCTAAAACATATTTCACTAGCTAAGCAGAAATATGAAATGTTTTAAAAAGAACTGCATGATAAGTTTAGGTAAAAAATGCTGCTTAAATCTAATTTCCGATAGAAAGTACGTTCAAAATTTGGCATGAAATTTATTTTGTCAATTTAGTAGATTATTTTTGAAGAAAAAGTGTAAATGCAGACATGGATATAAAGTTGAAATATCCAAAATTTAGTGGAAACAATGTCACATCTGAAGTCTATCGTCAGTACGTTTTACATGGAGGGGGATAATAACTTTCAGATATTAGTACAGAGGTATTGTTTAAGATTAAAATATATTTTCTGAGTCACATTAGTAGCTTGATTTTATCTGCTGTGATAAATATATGACATTAAATTTGCTTCAGTTTTCAAAAATTGTGGACACTTAAGGTTTTTTTCATGAAACACCCAGATCATCTTTTAATTCGAGTACATGAATTTAAATTAAAAATATGTGCATAAACATATAAATCCTGTAAAACAGAACTGCAGATTTTGCCAGATCATATCAGTTGCATGCACACATTTTAAAATGGTATTTAAACCCATCCTACAATGAACTAAGTGTAGAATGTGGTAACTGAATTAATACTGGCAAAATAAATTATTAATAGGCCAATTTCTTGATACACTCAATTACTTCTACTTATTGATTTAATTGGGATGAGTTTCACAATCCTAAGAACTGTTGTTTTTCCTCTTCTGGGTACAGTGAACTATGGGATCACTAAAGTAGAAGGACAGCCCATTCACACTGAACTGAATAGAGCTATGGACAACTGTAACAGTCTCCGAATGTCTCCCGTGAAAGGGATGCAAGAGAAGGGAGAGCTGGATGAACTTGGGGATAAATGTGACAGCAATGTATCCAGCAGTAAGAAGCGGAGACACCGAACCACCTTCACCAGTTTGCAGCTAGAGGAGCTGGAGAAAGTCTTTCAGAAAACTCATTACCCGGATGTGTATGTCAGAGAACAGCTTGCTCTGAGGACAGAGCTCACTGAGGCCAGGGTCCAGGTAGGAGCCAAACAGAGGTCTTGATGGATGGGATAGGAAAATAAATGGTGTTAGAATAATTGAATAAGTGCATCTTGCTACAAAGAAACAAACTGATTCCGTAGCTGAAGATGAGGAACAGAGTAAAATATATGAATATATGTCTACTAAAATTATTTTTTAATTGCAAAAATTTTGACAACTCACGCAATATATAAAACAAAAGAACACTTGAGTTATTACGTAGACATAAAAATTAACAATATTCAAATATAACAATATGATAATATAGCTCTGATTTTCAAAAGCAATTTTTAAAGGATGAAAAGCAGAATCAGGACTATTTAGTAATTGGTATATTTATTAGGTTTTTTTTTCAGTTTTATTAGCCACTGAGGTTATTTTTTAGATTATATATCAGGTATTTGTAAATTATTTGTATAATAGCCCATACATCTAGAAATTTACTAGAGTTGGAGGCATAATAAAAGAAAAAAAAAGAAGCAATCCCACAAATTCCCAATTGTTATGCATATCGTAGAATGTTTTCACTATGGATGATTAAAAACAAGATCAAATCGTGCTCATTTACAATTTTATAGTTCTAGTAGTTGTCAATATGTAATATTCCATTATAATTTTTAAAGCCTAGATAAATTATATGAATTTTGTATAGGCAATAAAAATAATGGCTTTAAAGTAAATTTTTGCATACACTCAATTATGTTTATAATATATATTCTAGTTATTAAATTGCATGATCCAATATACTTAATTTTTAAAAATAATTTGAGAAAGAAAAATCATACCAGGTAAAATTTTACCTCTTAGGAGTATTTTATTTTCATGAAATTGGATATTCTTAAACTATACTTTACTAGTTTCCAAGTAGTAAGAGTTTAAAATGCAACAATAATTCAGGATAATGGCCTTTGTCTTTGTGTGTGTTCTGACTCCTTTACAAGTATTGATTTTTGCAATTCCCATAAACTGCTTAAATGGGGGAATGAATAAAATAGTGAAAATTTTTGTTCTAAATCGAGTAACAGTATTTCTTCCTAAGAGTAAGCCATTGTAAGGCTCTAACATCATTAGAGACAACATCTGGTGGTACACGGATAACAAGCAGCAGATTTTTACTTGATTTTGTGGAAGTAAATGGTTACTTTATCTTGGTTCAGGAAGTAAATATGTAGAAAGTTCATGCTAACAAAGAATTTTAGAATTGTCAAGTATAACACCCGCTCTGTATGTTTGAGATCTTTGTCTTTGTCTATATTTAGTTATACTTGTAACCATAAACAAATATGTGCACACAGAGTGACCAACTGTACCTAATGCATCTTTTCCCTTTAACATTCACCAAGTCTTGATTAATTTTTGTCTAAGAACATGCACAGAGAGCCAACCTGAACTTAATTTACTCAAGTCGTGCTCTTTCCTGCTTTGCACCTAAGAGTGGTAACTATTACCCATTTTAAGGAAATTGTCAAGTTCTTTTTGTCAATGGAAAAAAAAATAAAACCCAAAAACACATTACTAAATTCCCTTAGTGTGTTCCTGGGGCTTGTCTGTGGAGACAGCAAGAAAATTTGATTTGTTTTGTTTTGTTGTTGATGTCTTGAGCCTTGGCATAATGGATAATATGCATTTATCAGCAGTGTACTAAACCTGTAATGAACATGTAGCTCTCTGGCTCATTTCAATTGCTGAAAACTCTTCAAAATGCCATCTTAAATTTGTAATGTGTACTTAAAAATTAAACTGAGTGTTAATATGTTGCCATAATTGTGAAGGTAAAGATATACAAGATTAGAAATTAGTATGAAAAATAGTGAAAATTTGAAGTAAACTTCAACAAAAGACTTCTACAACTTGCATTTTTTATATTTGATTTCTAGCTTTTTTCCTAAATATTTTATATTCTGAACATAGTTGTGTGAAGAAAACTAAAGAGATTTCCAAAGGCTACTCCTATAATGTTCACTTAAAAACATTAAAGTATACATATTGAATATAATCTTCTGCATCTCCCTTTAATATTAAAGTGAAGATCTTGGAGCATTACAAGTATGAATTAAACAATATCCAACCTGCTGAGGAAGATGGTTTTTATGATAAATACTTCTAATAGGTAATTAGAGAAATTGTGGAAGATAGCTTAGTGACCTTAGTTGCCACACTAACTGATAGACTTTCTTGACACTTGGTTCTATCTGCACTATTTCTTATATTATTTCCATTACCTGTGCTTTAAATTAAAGAAATTATGTAAAGATATCTGAGCATTTTCATAAGGGAAAATATGTTGCATAATGTATGTAATAGGCACATTCATGTATTTTAAAACCATAGTTCAACTTTAGATGATTCCTTTTTACCATGTTTATTTTAAAACCGTAGTTCAACTTTAGATGATTCCTTTTTACCATGCTTATTTTAAAACCATAGTTCAACTTTAGATGATTCCTTTTCATCATCCTTATTAAAATATGTAATCTCATTTTTTCCTATTTCTAGATAATCATGATGTTCCTGCTGCTGCCATATATTTAGATGCAATCTTTATGTTTAAATTTTTAAAAGATTACGTAGGTATGAACACAACCGAGAAGAGCTTTCACTTTTGTGACATATTTTAAAGATAATTTTTAATAGACTCAGATATTAATTTGCTTATAGATTGGCTGGGTTTACGTTATGGCGGATATGTCTTCCAGACTTGCAGCATCCTCTTAAAGGAGACTTATCCATGACAATGGAGCATACAATCTGATTCCTTTTTGTTTTCCCTAAATGAGAAAACAGAGGCTCAGACATACCAGATGTATTTCCCGAAAGTCTCCTGCCTCTTTCTATTAAATTATTTTGCCTCATGGGCAAATCACTTACCACATCAAGATACAAGAAAAAGTAAAATCTGTGGATCCTTTTCTAACATAAATACATTTCTTTTTAAGTAACTTTTTTTAACCTGGTTTACCTTTCTGGTTTGATGTCTTTTAACATCACATTTGCTTTATCAAATATTCCTTAGCTAAAATTCTACTTTTTATTAAATAATTAGGTTTGGTTTCAAAATCGAAGGGCCAAATGGAGAAAAAGGGAACGTTATGGCCAAATACAACAAGCGAAAAGCCATTTTGCTGCCACCTATGATATATCAGTTTTGCCAAGGACTGACAGCTACCCACAGGTATGCTAAACTACACAGAATACTGTTCAAGAAAAGTAGATTTGGTTTGTGTATTCTTAAAATGGTTATCATAGGCTTTATTTTATGTGATATAATAGTCAAGAATGAAAATTTAAGCTTCAGAAAACATTCTTCCTATCTGCTAAGTTTTAATTTTTCTAAATTATTTTCTTGTTTTTCTTACAGAGTCATTCATTTAAAAATATTTCAGGGTATTTTTTTCTTTTGAATTTTGTTGCATATTGCAACAAATGAAATAGCATCATTTAATGATACAGGTCTTTTAATTATTCTACATTCTAATTACTCAGACTCTCTCCCTTTGTTAACTTTTAAAAATACTGTACATAGAGTGTTGCCTGGCATGCAATCTCTGTGGATATTGTTTTATGAACTATACTAAAACCTGATGTCAAATGTGGCCTATTAAGCCCTTAACTCCACTTAAAAATGTATCTCTTTTTCTATTTTTTTTTTTTTCAGATTTCAAATTGCTTATTCTCTCAAGGTCCACATTTGGTCCTGTATGACTTAAACAGAGATAGAATTAGTACCAGACATAATTTTAAAAATTAATCACAGATAAGTAACAGCTTCCGTTTATAATGGGTGCTCTTTTACTTCATTACAAAAAGTGTTAGAAATTCTTTTTCTTCCCCTTTTTCTTTTTCAATATAGAGACTCTATATATTTCTTTTTCATATTTTGTAATGAATGCAAATGTTTTGTCTTTGTAATATATTTTTTGTCACTTTTTCCTAATAATAATGATATTCGGAACTGTATTTGATACATGATAAAAAACACCTATGTTATAAGGAACAAGCTATGCATTATTTTGTTATTTATTATTTAATGATATGCATTGTAAGAGACCCCTATGAAAACACCTATGAAACAGATATGCTGGAGAAATACCTTGATAATTTAGTAACTAGATGATCTGAACCCCAAACCTGAGTATTCATTTTCTTCAACACTATGAATACAAATTCAGTTCTTTAATATTGTTCTTTCCTTGTGTTCCTATGCCTTTTATGATTCTTAAAAACCAATTTTATAAACCTCACTCCTCCAGATAAATCACCCAAATTTATTAATATAATATTATATGTTAAATAAAAGAAGTCTTGGAGGTCACCTTGTTCAACTCCTTCATTTAAAAAAATTATGAAAACGGGCTCAATTGAGTTAAGGAATTGATTCTTGATCACACAAGTGGTTTCCTGCAGGAGATACTATAAAGGTCGCTACATCTAAGCCTTTACCCGATAGTTTGCTAGAAGACTATTGTTATGGATACCTTTTCAATAAATGCCCCCTATCTCCTTGTCATAGGAGGAATCTTGCTTCTCTTTTAAAATTTATCTTAAAGAGGTTATCTTATGTTTTCTCCTATTTTAAAGCATGAGGATACCTCTGGTGGTTATTTATCATCATAGGGCTAGTGAAATTTTGTTTGCCAAATATTTTTGAGTGCCTTAGTTGGGTCAGTTTGAGTTAGTTTGAGTGCCTTTTGTTTCTAAACAAAATTCTGTAAAAATGTTTCCCCTCTAGGCTGCAAACTCCATGAGGACAGGGACTGCAGTGTCTTCATGGTTATTAACACTACTGTAGCCCTTACTGTATATCTGGACACTGTTCTAAGCAGATTACATATATTATCTCATTTAATCCTCACACCAACCTTATGTGCTAGGTGTTACTAATTATCTCCGTTGCTCAAATGAGAAAGAGTTGAGGTGAAGTTCAGATTTGACCAGAGACAATTTGGTTCCCACTTGCCAGATTTTAACCTGACAATAGACTGTCTCTCCCTGTGAATATATTTAAATGATACCAAAGGAGCATAAGGCTTGAGCTACATTATTCTAAGTCTGCGCTTTAGTGTGGGGGAGCCACAACCAGTGAAATAACAATAAAAATATAGGTGAAATGGAGAATGGTTTAGATCATTTTGAACTACTTGACTGTGGTGACTTTAGAAGTAATAAAGTAACAAATTACGAGCTCTTCACGTGGATTTTAAACAGTCTTACTAAGTATATTCCACAACACTTGACTATGACTACTTTTTTGTGCATCTTATTCTTTCAGTCTTCATTTCCTTTCAAACCCCATTTCTGTCTGTTTTCCACTTTTCTGTCCCTATATGTTGGATGTTTTATATTTGACTCTTCTTGCTTCTTTGGTACAGGACAAAGCAATCAGAATAGGGCCTACCACTGATTAAGCCCTATATACAGGGTAAAGCATTCAGAATAGTGCCTAGCAACTATTCTGAATTTAAAACTTTATACAGTTTTAAGACCTGAATAAAGGCTCAATATGACTCAATGTACTGTGACTAACCATCTCTTTTCCCTAAGGTTATCTTGCCATTGTGTTAATATACCTCAAAGCTTTATATATTATTAATTAGAAGAATGTGGTAACCTAGACACCAATGGAAGAAGGGATATGGTACACCAAATTATATATTTGATCATCTTTTTCACTCCAATGAAAAATTAACTTAAAAAATTTCCCCCCACAGATCATGGGAATGTTGCACTGATTACTCCTCATAATTTGTGTACATTGGCTATACCACCTGATAATTTAAGAATGGAAAACTTACATTGGAATTATTTTAACAGTGCCAGTCATGAATAATCATAAAAATTAATACCATGAAATCCATAGTACTTTCCTGTATTGGTAAATCATTTAATGTTTGTTTACCAAAATTTCTGAAATTATGTGGCTGCAACTCCCCACTGTAGCTACTGGATAAAGCCAGGGGGAATTTTTATTTTAACTTAAATATATATACAGAATACTTTTTTAGTTTGTTTGAAAAAATAATTGTGCCAAGATCATGTCTCTCAAGAGTTAGCCTAAAGGAAACTTTTTTTGTTGTTGTTTTGTTTTGTTTTTTGTTTTTTTTAATCATGGGGTTTGAAAATAGGAAAATAGGAACTTGTAAAGGGAGAAATAGAAACAGAAGTAGAATCCAATAACTCAGCCCAATAAGACACTGGATTTGGTGACTGTTAATTACAGAAAAAAGCATTAATTTCAGAAAAGTTGGAAACTAGAAAATGTTGGAGGAAGGACAGAAATAAAGAATTAGCAATTTGGCAGGAAAAAAAAAGCCATACATAGAAATACATGAAAAACAGAGATAGGTTAGAAAATGATCTCCTCAAGCCTGCTCAGGGTGTACAATCATAATATGTTTATTTCTATATAGTAATTAATACTTTCTAATATGTTCTAATAAATACTTTGCTTCAACTGGCCTTTTTACTACAACAGCTGTAACAGTAAAAATAATTACTAATAATTGGGGGCATATTTAAAGCCAGACACTGTGCTTCCTTCTTGTATCTATTAACTTGTTTAATTTAAGCTCAGGTTTTCTGAGCTCAGAAGCCCAGAGACCTTTATGTGACATTATCTCTTTAATTCATCATCGAACAGTGAAATAATTCAACTTGGATCCTAAAATATCTCATCATTTTTGCAAAGTAAAAATGCTTCTGTTTTTAAATTTATAAACATTTAGAAAGCCTAAACACCTCACTGACTGTTATAAGATTTTTTTCTTAAACTTGCTTATCTTTGATAGCAAACAAATAAGAAAGTGAGAGATGTGATGTTCATATTAACATATTTTAAGGTAGTACATTTTGATGTACTGACAATAGTATCCTTTTGTTTAAGTTCTTTATTTGAAGATATCAGTTGCCATTTGACAATGCTATGATTTAGCTAAATTAATGTATTCATTTTTCCTCAAGAGGTGACATTTTTGAAAGCATTCTCATTGCTTGGGATGAATCTGTTTCTTCTATCTTGAATTTCCCTCCCTCACCTAAGCCATATTTACTCCATGAAGCCTCTGGAATGTGCCATCTATCTGCACATCACTTTCTCATTGACATTTTGGTGGGTTGTATTAAAGATCTGACTTCCCATTTACAATGTAAAATATTTAAAAGATGGCCCAGTTACTAGTCACCTTTGTATCACCAAGGATGCTCTGCTATGGATTGAGCAAATTATATAGACATTGGATAGATGTGAGTAATAATACAGATTCACTTCAGTATATTAATATATTAAGTAGTGTATCATAAAACAAAAATAATCAGTTTTCAATAAAACAGATAGTTTCTGAATTTCTGTTATTAACCAGCTTTGTGGTATAAGTAATTAACTTTTCCTAAATTTCTTCTTCTGTTAAAAAGAATAGGCTAGAAAGATTTGCAGACACTTTTCAGCTGACTTTTATTCCAAAGTTATTTGCATTTCAAAGCAAATATATGCCATGCACTATTGCAGGGATCAGGGATTCAGGGATATATAAATGATCTAGACAGAATTCCCTGCTTTGTAGAAAGACTAAAAACTGGGTAATATTTGTACTAAATTTGCAAACACTTCTTGATGCAAACTAGGCCCAAGAAACCATAAATCTAAATAATTTTGCCCTTAAATTTAAAAAGCAAGCAAAGATCTATTGATATTACATTTTCACTTGTTTCTAATAGAGCAAAACCAAAACATTTTAAAAATAATTATTTTAGTGAATAAAATATTTTACCTTAATGTATAAGTGTTTTCTTGAGAATTATAATGACCCTTCATTTCTTACAAGAAACTTTACAATTTCATGTGCTTAGGTTTGGATTACATGAGCATTGACATTATTATCTAGATAGATAACTTTGAGTTACAACTTTGACTTGATCTTCAGATTCTTTATTTGTAAAATGGAAGTATTGTTGGTGCTAGTGTTGGTGGTGTTGATGGTGTAGATGATTAAGATGATGATGGTTTTTCTGTTTTTATGAAGACTAAATGGATTTCCAAATAGGAAAGCCCTCTGTTTGTAGACTACAGAGGTGTATCCTGGGATTCGGAGAGGGCCATTAATGACTATGAACTTCCCAGTCAGAGAGATGTGGGTTCAAGTTTTGGCTTTTCAGTTTAACAGCTTTTAGACATTTGGC